GGATATGCATCCACCTCCTCCTATTCAAAATACTATGGCTTCAGCATCTGCACTACCTGCAGTTAATTGCTCTACCCTTCATGATTGTGCTAGTGCTCACAGAGAGAGGTCTTGGTAGGCAAAAGTTCAAGTTTCTCAAAACGAGGACCCAACTACGCCTCAAATACCCTTAAATTCATCCACTCATAGTTTAGCAGTCTGAACCGGTGTAATTAAACCTACATGAAACTATCTCAAACATTATTGTACTAATATTTGTATGATATTACTATGATATTTATTTGTATTAAAATTAATATACAATTTGTTTGCAATCTTACTGTGAATTAAAGTTAACATTTTACTCCAGGGACAGGATTTAGGGTATAGAACTAGTTTCTTAGAGGGCTGAGCGTTACATGTTGCATGGAGCATGGCATACCTTTTGAGTGCAAGGCACCATATCATAGTTTTTCTAGTCTGGGCCGAACTTTGGGATGAGGGAGAGGGTTTCCAGCTGCGAGGGGTGGAGTGCGAGGGTGTAGTTTGTACGGTAGGTAACTGTGCAGTACTGGGCTGGCTTGGGTTGGAAAATTGTGTTTAGGATGGGGGTAGCATCACCCCATACCATACACGCTTGCAATGGTACAGTGCGCCCGCCAATGATCAACCCCCCAGCTTTTCGGAATGGAAATGTCGCACCACGAAATTTAGCGGTACGTACATAAGAGAGGTGAAGAGGGTCTTACAATACCCTCCCCCCGCCCCACCCGTTCCGCACAATGGCGGGGTCACCAAAACACTACCTACACTGTATATTGACACCGATAAGCTATGTCTAACCCCTAGATTAGACGGTGCGAAGAGATTCTCGAGCGGGGAGAGGTTTTTCTCACCCAGCCGAAAATATGCATGATATGATACCGGCCGCACCAGGGTTAAGTCACCTCCATTCACGGCGGAAATCGAGTGGCTCCGGTTGTGGCTGAGGTTCCGCGGAAGGGGGAGGTGGTGACCACGTTCGAATAGGAGAGATCGGTGGCGTGTATTACACGCCTGTCCCGTGGGGGAGGGGGAATTGTGGAAAACATTCCGACGCTCCTCCTGAGATATTGGTTTGGGAAATCTGATGGGGTGGGGATTTCTTTATTATGGTATGGTATCATTTGGGTCGTTAATGGGGTACTATTATGGAGTCGTGCTACGGCACTCGTACTCTACCTGTACCCGAGTACCGGTATTTTAGGGAGGTTCGAAGCTCTCGGTACATGGAAGGTATAGGTGTTCTTATAGAGGTGTATTTTTTTTTGTAAAGTACCAGCACTGTATACAGCAACCCCCCCCCGGAGGAAGGATGGGGGATACTGGTACGGCCCCGTTCGCACGGTACTGTAGTACCGGTATTGTCTTAGCGGCAATCAGCTGTTAGCATATGGGTGCTGATATGCGAAAATTGGGCCAGACACCTTAAACCCGGTTTCGTGTAATTTCAGTTTTAAGTTTGGATCGCAACCAAGGAAAAATTGTAAAACATAAAAATATTGAATGCCCTTACATGTAATCAGTATTACAAAATTCTTTATAGCAGTCAATTCTACTACTAAAAATTGCTCTTAAATATTTTTCTGATTGCTGAAAACTCAGGCTACATATCTATGTAAAAATGATAAAAGTGTGAAATCTGAAAAAATCTAATTCTGAGTCTATAAATATATGAATTTTCTTGAAAAATATTTTTTAAGATTATTAGCAAGGGCTCTCTAAGCTCAAGAAGTATTATATGTGTTGAGACAGGTTTGTTGCATTGGAAGAGCAGACCAATTTTTGCATATCAGCACCCATATATTATTATATGGGTGTTGATATGCAAAAGTGGGCCAGACACCTTAAACCTGGTTTTGTGTAATTACAGTTTCAAGTTTGCATAGCAACCACAGAAAAATTATAAAACATAAAAATATTTCATACTCTTACATGTAACCAGTGTTACAAAATTCTTTATAGAAGGCAATTCTACTACTAAAAAAGGCTCTTAAATATTTTTCTGATAGCTGAAAACTCAGGCTATGTATCTATGGGAAAAAGAGAAAAGTGTAAAATCTGAAAAAATCTAACTGTGAGTCAATAGATGCACAAATTTCCTTGAAAAATATTTTTTAAGATCATCAGAAGGGACTCTTCAAGTGGAAGAATAATTATATGCATTGAAGTAAATTTGTTGCATTGGTAGAGTGGGCCAATTTTCGCATATCAACACCCATATTTAGTCTTGTTGCAATCAGTATTGTGCTAAACTAAGATATGTAATGGGTGCCAGTGGTAGGCAGCCTGAGGAGGTAGTTTGAACAGTAGGAGGTACTTTTTGACCTCCTCATCTTAGGCTTTACCAGAAGTAGCTAGTAGAACAGCTTCTCTAGAGTGAAAATATGGTTAATGAGGATATTATCTTGATATTTTATTCTAGACAGCTCTTTGTATGAAAAATAAACTATATTCTATCCTGGCTCTTCCTGGCATATTACTTTTCCAACTTCTTCTACAACTCTTCAGGATCTTGCTTCCTAGCATACAGCTTAGTGTGGGTACTATCCAGTAGTCTTACTAGTATTTCCTGGTCCTTGAAAAACTTTTTACTCCAATAGGGTTTTAGTTTTCTCTATTTCCTGGGTATTCACTTTACTCGGAAATAATGGACTTGAACTCCTTCTTAGAAAGAATACCTACTGCTACTAGTTTCTACTTCTAAGAATTCACTATCTTAGAAAGGAACTTAATATTTAATATAGAAAGAATATTAACTTCCTGGCTGGTTTTTACTACTATAATAGTAGTAAGTAACTTGAAGGTGTATGTAGGACTAAGGATATAACTAGTATGACAGGATGCAACTGTCAAGGGTAATATGTAGTAGTTACATACTAAAAGTAAGGTTTTATATAATAAAACTGTAAATTCACAATGATACTTTAAATTTGCAAAAAATTTTAAAGAAGATAGAATGTGAAAAGTAAAAGGGCAGAATATGTACAATGTCATGAACCGTGATTAAGTAAGACAGATTTCATATAGTTTGGAATTCTGAGCTATAGGTATGTTGGAATTTTATATGATGCACATTAGTGCATTATAGGTTATTATGTTTACCTGTTTATGACTCACAGTTGTAAGTCATACAATTTTATAACTTTCATACATGACTCAAATTATGAGTCATGGATCTCACTCAGGTGATGTGAGTTGCACACCTGATTTGATTATTGAGTTAGGATTGGTTTAAGGTATATTGTACAGTGACTTATAGGAGTTAGCTGATGGATTTTACATGACTCAGAGTTATGAGTCACAAGGTTCATATGACCCAAGGTATGAGTTACACTAG